ATTTACAATATACATTTACCTTAAAAAGCTCTGACTAGATTCACAAACACAAATATTTTTAAGGGAATCAAAAATGACGTGTGTGTGTGTTGTGTATATATATACATTTATATGTGTGTCTATATATACCTATATATAATCTTATTTATTTTTATAAATTAATTTATTTACATTTAATCACATCTTTACAGTACACATTTCTTTTTTCAGCACCAATACTACGAATGTCAGTCAAGCCAAAGATATTACTCTACAACTTATCAGCAAATAGCTTCTCATTTTTTTGTCAATTAAGCATACTTTTACTTTTTTTCTTCCCCTTTCCCTTCTCTCTCTTCCATACTAAACTTTTTTTCCACATTTTGATTCACAAAATACCTTAAACTAAAAATATGAACAAAGCTAGAATCTAGTGACAAGTGCACTGTAATTTTCTTCTGAAATATGTTTTTTAATTAATTTAAATTCATTCCCTGAGTATCATCACAGCATACAAAATGTGATTTCCCATTCAGAGTATATTACACAGTGGCTTAATCATGCATGTTATCGTCATTAATTTTCCATTTCTAGTTTCATATGGATATATTTATATATATATTTTACCCCTATTTCTCACCCTCTGCCATTTCCCATCCTCCTCCCACACTATCTCAGGTGTCTATAGCTGTTCCATTTCTTTCCTCCCTCATATTTTATTGATTCGCAAAATTTCTTAAATAATCTAACTAGTTTCAATAGCAAGTTGAGCTGGTATATACGTATCTATGAATACATGTCTGACTTTAGGTGTGAAACTCTGAGTGGAACTGATACACTATAAGATAGCACCTGGCTGATGCTATATAGGTTACTAGGGTCATTAAACAGGTATTTTTAAATGTATCTTTTAATTTAAAGAAAAGCACTTTTAGCTTTAATAACTCAAAGAAATGCTAAGGAACTTTGCTTAAAACTTAAAAGCCAGAAAACAGGTTAGGATTCTGTTCAAACAGTAGGTACATGAACCTATTGGCAGCTCAAGATAGGACAAAAATCCTTAAAACCGGAAAACAAAGCCTAGAAGAAAATCAGCAATGTTTTAGTCAAAAGTCATAAAATTCTATTTCATCACTTCAGTCTTAATGTACTTAATCTCTCTTCTGTTGTGGTTCAATCTACGCGATTAAATTCTGGTATACAATATTCAACTCCAGACTTGTCCCTACGATGAAGTTGGCCATTTTCTTAGTCTTTGAACTCTCATTTCCGTGTGTCTGTATTTAATTTTCCTGGTATAGCACTCCCTTGAAAACTTCAGGTTTTGTGTATGTGAGAATGTCCTTGTCTTTTCTTCCCATACTAAGGATAATCTTGCCAGGTACAGTATTCTAGGTTGAAATTGCTTTTCCCTTAACACTATAAATATATTTTCCCGTTCTTTCCTTGCTTGCATTGTTTCCAATGAGAGGTCCACTGTTAGCCCGATGGGATAGCCTTTGTATGTAACTTAATGTTTCTGTCTTGCCAATCTTAGTATCTTGTCTTTGTCTGTGGCTTTGGTCAATCTGGCTGTAATATGTCTAGGAGAAGATCTTCTTGGGTTGATTCTACCTGGGATCTTTTGTATTTCTTGGGGCTGGATCTTTGAAAGCCTCTCTAGGTTTAGAAAGTTTTCTTCCAGGATTTCATGAAATAGATTGTCAATGCCCTTATCAGTCTCTCTGCCTTCTGGGATACCAATTATCCAGATGTTTGGACGTTTGATAGTATCTAGTATTTCTCATATATCGTTCTCATTGCTTTGGGCAATTTTCTCAGTCTACGTGGTGGATTTTTCTAGGCCAGCATTTCTATCTTTGACGTCTGAGATTCAATTTTCTGTATTATCTAGTCTGCTTTTAATATTTTCAAGGAGGTTTTGACTTCCTGTATTAAAGCCTTCATTTCTAACAGATCAATTTGATTATTTTTATAATGTATATTCCCTCTTTTAGATCTTGCAATAATTTTCTCACCTCCTGGAACTCATCAGTTCCTTTCTCCTGCCTCTTCTGCAGTATATTGTCTCTCTTCTCTTCCATCTCTGTTAACTTGTCATTATGAATATTCTAAATTCTTTATCAGATATTTCCATGAGCTTCACTGTACTGTCTAAGGATGAAGAGGAGTTATTATTTTCCCTTGGAGGAGAGGAATTTTCTAGCTTTCTCATATTTCTTGTGACCCTGCGGTAATTTCTAGTCATCTGGGGGATGGTGCATTTCTTCCTAATTCTTGAAGTTCAATCTGAACATTCAGAGGTGTGCAGAAGGAGGTGTTCTGCAATCTTGCTTCCATTCTGTTTTCACTCTTTGTGCATCAGATTCAATGGTAAGTAAGGAATATTCTAACTGTAATTGTATCCAGATGTTTGGAAGCTGTTCACTTGAACCTGTCTAGACATTTAGTGAATAGAGGCCACTAGAAATGAATCTGGAATAAGAAGTCTCAGCAGAAAATCTTCATTTTTGGTCAAGGAAATCAAATTTCACAGCTGAAGTTCAGTATCCATCTCAGGATCTATATAATCTTACTTATTGACTGACTGACTGGTTTTTGCTACAGGGCATGTGCACTTGCCAGAGAGACAGGGTGGAGGGTGAGAAAGTACTCCCCAGGGGGGATGGCCATGCAGCAATCCCTTATCCTCCATCCTCCTCTCAGGATTATGGGCACAAACTCAGAGCATACTTCAAGCTACCAGGTCCAGCACAGAAGGCCTTGTGGAATCCAGCCACCCTAACCACCATGCCATGGGATGGCAATATATGGATATATAGATACATAGATATACAGATATCCTTTCAAACAGGAAACAAAGGTAGGATAAAGGATATTATTTTGATATTATGCAAACATGATTTGTTAAAGTTTATTTATTTCATCAGAGAGAGAGAGCGAAGCACCCTCACCAGGGTCTCACATCACAGTCCCTCCACTGGCCTTCCCAGTAAGTCAGGATCATGGGCTGCATGCCCAGTCTGTACAGGTCAATCAGGGAACGGAACTTGAAATCTTCCATATGGATCCAGTGTTGCTTGAGCAGTGTATTACTACTATGCCACCTAGCTGGTTTGAATGCATGAATTCTTAGGAATAAGGTGAAGTAAAGTTAGGGGCGTGTGTGTTTTACTTCTTCCAAGCTCAAGAGAGACAGCACCCCCAACTAGGATTTGATGCCAGGATCCACCTTTGGCCTCACTCAGTCCTTGACTGTGGGCACATATGCACCTGGTGTAATCAGGGAAGTCTCTGGACACGAACCCAGAACCTTCCCAGGTGGGTCAGTCTCACAGGGCATCATGTTTTACGACTGTCACTGTCCATACCCTAGTATTTTTTTTTCCTTTTTTAAAATGTATCTTTCCAAATGATCTGAAGGCAAAAATGCATAATAAAATCTCAAAGCTGACAACTGCACTAAACTTTTACTGAAAATAAAATGCTTAGGTGATGAGAATAAACCATAGTGCTCATTCACCAGTGGCTATAAAGGCTGGCTCTACAGAGCATGCTAAACTATTCAAGGAGGTTATAAAGACCTTGTATAGTAAGCCTCCCACCCCCGACAAAAAAGGATCATTACTAAATGGCCTACCTAAAGACAATTTACATAGGTGAACATAAACAATCGTACTAGGCTAGGACAGTGGCAGAGATTGATTTTCTCTTGCTGGAAGGTTTGGCATTTTTGAAGGTAGAGGCAGATACCCATACATGGGCAGCTGCATCCATCCTGCCAATGGCTGTGAATCTAAGAAAGTGCAGAGGCTCCTGAGGGTGTGAAGATAAACCATAGTGAGGAAGAAAAATGGTCTGTACTCTAAAACTGCCCCGCCCCTCAAGGAAATAAGAGCCCCAAGCCTACTGAGAATGGACTAAAAGAATTAGAAGCCTCTTTTCGCCTCTGCCTGAAGGAAGGAAAATGAGTAGCCAGTTCTCACAACAGTGGTAACTGCAGAGTGACACCTTCCAGGGGCAGAACTGAAAAGGGAATTCTGTACATGCCTGACAAGGCCAGCTATGTAACTGGCAGGACCCAGGGCAAGATGAAAATGTGGGTGCCTTATTCAGGAATGATTAAGTATTTCAGAACAGTGACAGCAAAACATTACAAGAAGCATAAGGCTCTGCCAGGTGCAGGGATCTCTACCATTGCACAGGCTGCATGCCAGGAGGCCAGTCCTGACTCCTGAGTCACAAGAGGAGTGGAACAAAAATTCAGAAGGCACAGAAAAGTCTAAAACAGAAAATCAGGACCACCTGAAATCCCACCACCCAGGGACCACCACTGTGAATCATTTTGGTATACACCCAGAAATTTTTCTCTCTATATATAAACATGTAGATAATTTACTCACACATATGATTTTTAATTATGGAAATGGTTCATTGGGCAATCTCTTCTGTAGGCTTTTTAAAAAAAATTATTACATTTTGTATAGCTTTTCAAAATGTTAGTAAATATAGATAGATCATTTCGATCATATTGTACGGTTTATAGAACATACAGATCCATGTTCCATTTAACCACACTCCCATTGTTGAGTGTTTGAAGGGTGTGGGGTTTTTCATTATCACAAATGATGTGCATTGAATATCAATAAAGTTGTGTGAAAATTGAATATATCAATCAATATCCAGCACTTCATAGAGTACAAGCTCTATGTATCTAACAAGCTCTCTACACACATTAGTGATTAAAAAAAATATTATATCCTGTGTGGATCTAATTTATGGCCCCAACAGCAGGGTAAAAGATATTGGCTCCTCTCTATTATTTCCAAATCCATTTTCACCTTTTGTGTTTCTTCTACAAATGGTCTATTTGTGTTCCTTGATAGTGCTACTAGATTTCTCAAGCTTTCAAAATGTTCATTGATTTCTCAATTGGGGGTACCAATTCCTTGTCATATAAAAAGTTTTTTGCTTCTTCCTTTAAAAAAAAAAGGACAAAAAAGAATTTACTTAAGACTTACCTCCAGTTCCTAAGACCTTCAGAAGCTCAAAATTCTCGATCCCCACTTTTTCTGCATGTCCTGTTAAATTAGCTAAAAAGAGAGAGAAAAAAATAATTAAGGGGAATCAAAAGGAGGTGATTCATGGGGCTTCTGAGGTGCCCACAATGCTACAACGAGTAAGATAAACCAGGTTTACTTGTAAGTAACTACTTGTTAAAGGGTACAGTTATGTTTTGTGTATTTTTCAGTATATCATATGTTATGATTTTTTTTTAGGAATTCAGTAACTATATAACACTTTATACCAAAAGTAACCTAAAGCATTAATAGACTACTGACCAGTATAATCTGGGGAAAAAATTTCACATATATAGGTAGACATGCAATAATGAGAGAAATGGACACATTTAGGTATATTAATTTATTCAACAAATATTTACTGGGTGCCATCCCCAGGTTCTAGGCTGGGACTGGTTCCAGTTCTGCCACTAAACACTTGAGTACTATTTTACTTATATTAGTCTCGATCATCCTGGGTGATCCGTTGTCTGTGAAATAAAATGAAAGTGTTGGTCTCAATAAACTCTAAACTGCTTGCCAGCTCCAAAATTCCAGAGCCATGCTTATAAACATAAACTCTCAAAAACCATATTCTGTCCTAAATAAACAAAATGAGGGTATCAAATAAACAAGTATCTCCTAAAGAACATTCCATTGATTTCTAGTGCTGTCCTATAAAACGTTAACAGGGATGGTATTTGGTGGGAGGGTAGGGAGCAACAGGCTCTAGTGGAGTAAGATTGGAAATGGTTTGCTTTAAATAAAGTTAAAACAACTTCTTAACTGATGAATCTCACAGATCCTGTACTATGAAAATATGCAGGTGGATCTTCAAGACTGAGACACTGCAAAATTATATGAGAATACCTATTAATATTGCATGAACTAACATTCTGCAGAAGTAGCTAAGAAAGGCTTAATCCAAATCCTAATTTTACCATTTTTCAAGCTGTCTGATCTTGAACAAACTACTCAATTTCTGTGTCTCAGTCCCCAATAATGTAAAATGTACATAATAAAAATACCTACCCTTAAAGCATAATGATGCCTGCACTTTACTTTGAAATGTATTAAAATGCAATGATAAATATAGGTATAAAGAGATATGTCATAAATCAATATAATAAAAATGTTAATTGTGGAATTTAGATAATGAGCATAAAGGTGCTCAACATACAATTCTTTCAAATTCTACGTATCTGAAAATGTCTGTAATAAAATGAGAAAATATAAAATACCTAACTCACAGGGTTGTGATGAAGATTAAAAAGTTAAAATTTATACAGTGCTTATTGTGTGCCAATAAGCATTATTATAACTATCTGTAAATAATCCTTGGGACTACAACTTTAAGAAAATGAGATGGGGGGGCACAGCAGGTGGCGTGGTGGTTAAGGCGCTGGACACTCCCACATGGCTGACCCTGGTTCAAGTCCTAGACCTGGGGGTTGCTTTCACACGTTCCCTCTTTCTCTCTCTCTCTGGTCAAATTAAAAGAAATGAATGAATAAATAAAATGAAATAAATAATCCTAAAAAATTTAAAAAAAAGAAAATGAGATGGGCTAGCAAGTGGCATGGAGGTTAAGGAGGTGGATCTCATTTGGCTGACTGTGCAGTTTGAGTCCTGGATCAGGTGGCTTGAAAATCACACTGGGTGTGTGTGCATGGGTGCCCAAAATCCCAAGAAAAAACTGGAAGAGAAGCGACTGTGGTGTGGCTATGCCCCCTAGTTGTGATTTCTCATTTTCTCTTTCACTGTCCCTCTGGCAAGCGCACATGCCCAATAGCAAAAAAAGAAAGAAAGAAAGAAAAGAAAATTAGACCAACTAAGAACTTCTAGAATTAAATTTTACGGGGATAAGTAATTTTGGTGTCATCTCAAAGTTTAACTAAATATACAATTGTTAAAAATTGTTTAAATTGTGATTAAAATACACAACATAAAATTTATGACCTTAACAATTTCTGAGTATATAGTACAATGTTAACTATATGCATATTGTTGAACAACTTTTTGATTTTGCAAAACAACCTGTATCTATTGAACAACTCCCCTTTTCCTACTTCTCTGAGAACCACGATTTTTTGTTTTTAATTCTGATTATTCATGCATAATTTTATAGTGAGAACATTGTCCAACCCAGAATTTACACTGACATGAATATAGATCCAAACTGATTATCCAAATGTAGGCAGTATCTTCCAAAAAAAAAATTAAAAAAGAAAGAAAAAGAAAAAAAAAGAAAAAGGGACCAGCAGTGGCATAATGGCTATCTTGCTAGACTCCCATGTAGTCGATCATGGTTCGAGTCCCAGACCTGGTGGCTTAAACTCACACGGGGTGTATGTGCATGCATGCCCAAGATCCCGAGAGGAGAGTGGAGGAGAAGGGATTGTGGCATGGCCATCCCCTTAGCGGGTGATTTCTCACTTTCTGTCTTTGTCTTTCTGGCAAGCGCACAAGCCCTATAGCAAAAACCTCTCCAAAAACAAAACAAAACCGTAGACAGTATCTTAAAGAAACACACAACAGCATATCTTCCTCTAGAATGTCGAGTGGATTATATTAAAAGCCATTCTCACAAGAGAAAACCACTTCTGAAATAAAGAGCTGACTCTCTTCTAATGGAATATTAAATTCTGTTATTTTACTATACTAAAAAGCATTATACATTATTAAAGAGACACGTTAGAAATAATTACTCCTGGTTCTCACAATTAGGACTCATTTTTTAGCTATTGAGATAGGTAAAAGCCCAGCTTTCCAAAAGCATTGTGCACACTCTGTATTTTCCTCATTATCTGTATTTGCTGCTAGAGGAGGAAGATAAGGAACTGCTTTTTGACATACAGGATTACTTTCAAAGGAAATTAGAAGAGGTTATAAACTAATTACACTTTATTCTAAAAAGTATATGATCCAGACAACTCTAGACACTCAAGAAAGTCTTTAAGATGATTTGTAAAAGTCTGGTTTTGTCTATAATATAGTACATGGTGAGCATCCCTAATCCAAAACCCCAAAATCTAAAAGAGTTTTTTAAATTATTTAATTTTATTTATTCATTCGTTTATTTTAATTCAACCAGACGCACACATACACACACAGAGAAAGAGAGAGAGAGAGAGAGAGAGAGAGAAAGTTGCCAGGTCCAGGACTTGAACCATGGTCTGCCATGTGGGAGTATCCAGCACCTTACCCACCACACTATCTGCTGGTCCCCAAAAATCAGAAAGTTGTGAACACTGACATAATGCCACAAGTGGAAAATTTCATGCTAAAATGCTGGATTACAAAAATACTATGTAGTTATCTCCAGACTACATGCATTAAGGTGTATATAAAACAAATAATTTTTGTGTAGGTCCTATCCCCAAGATATCATATATATATATGCAAATATTCCAAAATCCAAAATCTGAAACATGATCCCTAGCATTTCAGACACTCTCAACCTATTCTTTTATTATGGGTTTCTAACAGAAATTAACATGGTTGCTAGGGGAGCTCAAGGCTTTCCCCCTCACCCTGGGGGAAAATAAACTGATGGGGCTCTAGATGATCGACAGCGATACCTTCTGTATTCAGGGGTGAAGGCTTCCCAGTGATGAGAAGTTAGTGCTGCACCTTCAAGGTATGTTCTGTCTTTCATTTTTTAAAGTTTATTTCATTTACAAGAGACAGCGACAGAGAGAAGGGGACCCCTGACAGGGTCTTACCACATTGCAATCCACCCATAGCTTCCTGGCCAGCTAATATCACAGGTACACCCAAAGACTCATGCAGTGTGTTTGAGTCCACACAGGAACAGAACTCAGACCTTAGAGTCGATGTAAGGACTCCATCCTGTTCCAGTTTTCTGTATCTAGCCTCATGCCAGTAAGTAGTTAACTGCTTTGACTGCCACAAGTCTTAAAATCAGGTAATATAAGTCCTCCAACCTTGATCTTCTTCAATATTGTCTAGTGTTTTCAGATAAATTTTAGAAGTGTTTTCAACTGCTACCAAAAAAACCAAACCAAAACCAAAACCAAAAACAAAAAATCAAAAAATCCTGCTAGGGAGCCAGCAGATTGGTGGTTAAGGAGCTGGATTCCACATGGCCACCTATACAGTTTGCACCCTGGACTGAAAAATAAGCCAGACACATGTGCATGCCTATGAGCCCAAAATCCCAAGAGGAGAATGGAAGAGAAGGGACTTCTCGGGGGTGATTTCTCACTTTCCCTTTCTCTCTGTCTCTCTTTCTCTTCAGTGTGCACACAAGCCCTATAGCAAAAAAATCAAAAACAATAAAACTCCTGCTAGGATTTTTATTATTATGTTTAAGCAATTGACATTTATTTTCATCTAAACTGCTAGATTAATCTTTAACAATTTAATGTAATTATTAGTGTGGCTGAGCTGGTGTCTACCATTTTATTATGTGTTTTTAACCTGTCTTAGGATTCTGATTTATATTCTTACTTTTTTTTAAAAAGCACTTGAATGTGTTTTAGAATTCCATTTTAATTTTAGCTTTACTTCTTTGTATTATTTGTATAGTTCTTGCTCTGAGGTTTAGGATATTTCTCTATAATAATTCTCTTACAGTTAATACTGTATCACTTTACATAAAATATAGAAACCTTGTAATGACTCTTAATGGTATACAGTAGTTTCCCCTTATCTGAGGTTTCACTTTCTGTGCTTTCAGTTACTTGCAATCAACCATGGTCCAAAAACATTAAGTAGAAAATTTTAGAAGTAAACAATATGTGAGTTTTAACTTGCACACCATTCTGAGAAGCCTGATGAAATTTTATGCTGCCCTGTTGCATCTGAACTGGGAAGTAAATCATCCTTTGTCTGGTACATCCACACTATACATGCAGTCTGCCTGCCAGTCACTTAATAGCTATGTTGTTATCAGATCGGCTGTTATGGTACCACAGTGATTGTGTTCGCATGATCCTTATTTTAATTATTAATGGCCTGATGGTGCAAGAGTAGTGATACTGGCAATTCAGCTCTGTCAAAGAG